TTTCCTCCGCTGACTGCTTTGATTCCTTTGTCGAAAATCAGTTATGCATGTTTGTGTGGGTCTATTTTTGTTTTCTTTATTCTGTTCCAGTGATCTATGTGTCTGTCTCTCCCCTAATCCCACACAGTCTTGGTTCTTGAAGTTATATATAATAAGAAGTCTTGAAATCAGGTAAACTCCCGCCACTTTATTCTTCTTTCAAAATTGTTTTACTTCTGCTACTCCCTTTGTTTTTCGCTACAAATTTTAGAATAATTTTATCTATATTCACAAAGAAAAAATCTGCAGAGATTTTGATAGGAATTATGTTAAACCTGTATATCAGATTGGGGAGAACTGACATCTTTACTATGTTGAGCCTTCTGATTTATGAACACTGTATGTCTCTGTATTTGTTTAAATCTTTTTTTATTTCTTTCATCAGAGTTTTTGTATTTCTCAGTAGTCCTATACATGTTTTGTTAGGTGTATACCTGAATATTTCTTTTTTTTAAAGAATTGTAAATTATACTGTATTTTAAATTTCAGTGCTCATGTGTTCTTTGCTAGTACAGTTGATTTTTGAATGTTTATCTTGCATTCTGTGATTTTGCTGAACTCACCAATTAGTTTTAGGAGAGGTTTTTTTTTTTTTTTTTTTGTAGATTCTTGGGAATTTCTACATAGTCATATGCAGGTAGGATAATTTTATTATGTCTTTTCCAACCTGTATACTTTTAATTTTCTTTTCTTAACATATTGTACTGGCTAGTACTTCCAGCACTGTTTTGAATAAATAATACTGTTTAGGATTGCCTTCTTTTTAGGGGGAAAGCATTTAGTCTTTCATCCTTAAGTATAATGTTACGATAGTTTTTTTGTAAATTTTTTTAAAATCAATTTGAGAAAGTTCCCATTATTCCTATTTTTATGAGTTTTATCATAAATGAATGTTCAATTTTGTTGAATGTTTTTGCTGCATCAGTGAATGCGGTCATAAGATTTTTCATCTTTTGTCTGTTAATATGGCAGATATGGGTTTGTACCTGGTCATAGTGTTTGATGCTTTTTTAATATGTTGCTGACTCATCTTTGCTAATATCTTTTAAGGATTTTTTATGTCTATATTCGTAAGGAATATTGGTCTAATGTTCTCATTTTTTATACTATCTTTGTCTATTTTTTGTATCAGGGTAATATTGGATTCATAAAATGATTTGAGAAGTATTCCCTCTTCTTCTGTTTTTGAAAGAGACTTTGTAGAATGGGTGTTAATTTTTCTTTACATCTTTGGTAGAATAAATATTTCTTTTTGAGGAGTTTTTAATTATAAATGTAATTTCCTTAACAGTTATAGGGCTATTCAAATTATTTATTGTGTGAATTGTGGTGGTTGTTGCTGTGGTTAGGTACTGTCGCATTGGTTCTGACTCATAGTGACCCTACGTACAACAGAATGAAACGCTGCCTGGTCCTGCGCCATCCTCACAACCATTGCTACGTTTGTTGTGATAGCTTGTGTTTTTTGAAAAATTAATATATTTCATCTAGGTTACTGTGTAGAATTGATTCTAATATTCTCTCATTGTCCTTTAGATGTCTTCAGTTGTTTAGTGATATCCCCTTTCCAATGGTATTTTTAAATGAAACAATGAATTAATTAAAAAAAAATCATTTTCAGTTTTGAGTATGTTGGTAAATATGTTAATTCTAACATGTCTATATTGATTTTCTAAGCTTGCCACAACAAAACACCACAAAGTGGATGACTTTAAAGAGCAGAAATTATTGTCTCACAGTTCTGGAGGCTGGGAGTCTGAAATCAAGGTATCAGCCATGCTGATTCCTTTTGAGGCTTTAAGGAAGAATCTGTTTCATTCCTTCCTCCTAGCTTCTTGTAGCTCTAGGCGTTCCTTGGCTTGCAGCTGCAGTGCCACACGACACCTTTCCTCTGCCTCCCTGCCTTTCTGTATATTTTCCTCTCTTCTAAAGATACTAGTCCTATAGGATTAGGACCCACCCTACTCCAGTATGAACTCATGTTAACCTAACTGATAACATCTTCAAAGACCCTGTTTCTGAAGAGAGTCACATTTACAAGTATGGGGATTAAGACTTTGACATATCTGTTAGGGGAAATACACATAAATCCATAACAAAATCCAAAGCAGAATTTTGGATTTTCTTAACCCCTGAAGCCTATTTTACCATTTCCTTTTCATCAAATCATTAAATGTATCCTTATACTTGTTCAGGCCCAAAACTAAGTCATCCTTAATTCTTCTTCTCTCATTTCCCTGTTCGGTGTACCAAATCCAACTGATTCTGTTTTCAAATACATCTAGAAACCAACCACTTCTCATTTCCATTCCAGGCCAAGCCATCATCATTTCTCACCTGAACCACTGTGATGCTTCCTCACAGGTCTTCCTTCTTCCATTCTTGCTCCCCTTCAATCTATCCTTTACATAGCAGACAGAACACATAACTCCTCTATTTTCTGCAGTGGCTTTCCAGCACATGCAGACCAAAATCCAAACTCTATACCATGGCTATGGAATCCTGGTGGCACAATGGTTAACAGCTTGGCTGCTAACCAAAAGGTTGGTAGTTTGAATCCACCAGCCACTCCTTAGAAACCCTATGGGGCAGTTCTGCTCTATCCTATAGGGTTGCTATAGTCAGAAACGACCCGACAGCACATAACAACAACATACCATGGCTATACAGCCCTAGATGCTAGAACCCCAATTTCTTCGACAAAGTCATCTCTTACAAGTCTACTCTGGCTCTGTATGAGCCACGCTATCCTTACTGAACATTGAGGAGGATGCCAAGCTCATTCCTAGCTTGGCTGTCTTTCCACTAGCTATTTCGTTTGCCTGACATGTTCTTTCCCCTCAACATCTTATGCTTGGTTCTTTCTTGTAATTTATATTCCAGTTTAAACAGAGGTGTTGGCTTTCTTTGTCACTGCCATATCCTCAGCACATAGAACCATATTTGGAATAAATAACCAAAAAACCAAAAAACAAACCTGTTGTCATGGAGTAGATTCCAACTCATAGAGACCCTGTAGGACGGAGTAGAACTGCATAAGGTTTCCAAGGAGCAGCTGATAGATTCGAACTGCTGACCTTTTGGTTAGCAGCTGAGCTCTTAACGACTGTACCACCAGAGCTCCTTGGAATAAATAGGCGTTCAATATGTCATTGCTGGATAAATGAGTGAAAATGCTGTGTTTAATGTTGTCTGCACCTTATTTCATTTCACTCTTCAGCGATCGAATGTGTATTTTGACCTCCATTTTGTAGATTGGGAAATGAGGCTTTAAACTATCAAGAGCTACCTGGGAACTACAATAGTATATTTTTTCTCCCTCCTTCAAACTTGGGCATGGGCGCTGTCACTCGTGGCAAATGTGTGGAAGCAAGAACTTCAAAAAGTATGTTGCTAACCTTTGTATATCAATCTGTTCTTATCTCAAGCACTTTCAAGCCTGGTCTGAAAACTCCTTGAGAACATGCTTCATTACCCCCATTTCAGTGATTATGTCACTGAGACTGTGGGAAGGAGAAAGAATTATAAAAGACACTGTGTTTCTACTCAATCTGTTTAAGCCTATGATTCTGAGGAATGCTGTTTTCTTTATTGTTCGAGAACTTCATTTCATGTATTTTATCACTGGGAAATATTAATTCCAACTAACATTGTTACGACTGTTGTTAAAAACAAAAGACAAAAACAGAAAAAGTGTTGTGTAGTATTTAAAATATGGAGGTACCCATCTCATATGCAACTAGATCTCTCAGAGATAATAATATTTATATTTATACAATAACAAGCAAAAACAGACAAAAGACCTGGGAATATAGAGTATTGACAAATCCTAGAAACTGCTTGAGGCACTTAAGAATTCAGAAAATAAACTGTGGCTTTAGAGAAGGGACTGTGGTTTTGCATCTCTGTCTACAACACTGTTTTTATTAGAAAAGTACTGTGTGAAATTTTGAAATCCTCACAGTTATTCTCACTGTTAACCTCCAATCAGCCAATTGGTAGAGAGAAAGCAAGTTGCATTTTGCCTTTTAGGAATGTGAAGAAACTGAGGCAGTTCTTTCCAGATAATGCAGCAAATTAGTTTTAGAAATTGGTTGCCTAGAGGCAAAGTATAGCGCTTAAAAGTTGTGGTTTCCAGGCTATGTATTTTAGAGGAGGAGCCCTGGTGGTGCAGTGGTTAAAGCACTCGGCTGCTAACTGAAAGGTCGGCAGTTCCAACCCACCAGCCGCTCCGCGAGAGAAAGATGTGGCAGTCTGCTTCCATAAAGATTTACAGTCTTGGAAACCCTATGGGGCAGTTCTACTGTTCTGTACAGCCGCTGTGAGTTGGAATCGACTCAGTGACAGCGGTTTTCATTTGTTTTTGTGGTGTTTTAGAGAAGACAGTGATTTCTCCTAATTTCCAAATACCTGAGCCTGGACAGTGCAGACGCACAGGCAATTTTAGATAACAGTCTATTTTCCACCTCTGAGCCCATGAAGTGGAATACGTTCATCTGTGACAAAACAACATTTTCTCCCTTTGGTGGCAAATCTTCAACTCTGTTTATGTAGAATTGGGGTGAGCTTCTCGAATGAGCCTTTTCCCCATTTAGGCTTTCTGAATATGATTAACACTGTGGCAGGGCATTGTTTGATGTCTGACCTTGAGCAGAGAGCTTTCCTATTTCATACCCTTTTTTGGAAACATTTTGTGCCGCCTTGGACCCTGAGTTTCCTCCCCAGCAGACTTGATTTCGGCATTAGCCGGGTCATTTTGTTGGCATCCAAAGGGTTTCAGACCCAGTGACCTGTCATCTGTCTCCTCACCTGCTTCCATGCTGATTCATTGATGAGCTGGCATCGCAGGCCCCGCCTCCCTCTGAATGGTCTGTGAGGTTGCAATTGCTCCTGGAGAGGGGATGCTGAGCTGAACCGTAGCTGGGTTACTACAAGTGTGAACCGACAGCCTATCTGTTGCCACAGAAGAACTTGATGACCATACTAAGAAGCAGCCCTTTCTCACCACCCGGTGACTGTTGTAGCTGTATCCAGCAGCTCTAGCTTTTTAAAGGAATTTCTGATTCAGGCACTAACAGCTAATTCCACAGGAGTCGTAAGGCAGCCTGTGACATAAACTGAGACACAAGTTTCCCCACAGAGACTGTCTTTTTTTTTTGTTGTTGGCAAAGACTTCTGGCTCTCCTCAGAGGAATACCTTGTTGCTTAAGATGAGTGGCTGTAGAAAGCGGTGTAAACGTGAAATATTGAAATTTGCCCAGTACCTTCTCAGACTATTAACAGGTTCTCTTCATACAGGTAATGACTTTTTTCTTTTTTTTTTTTTAATAGAGGCTGGTAGAGCATGGTAACGAAGTTGAAACGGAACAGGAAAGACTCACTATTTCTGTGTTGTGATGATTTTTAATGTTGCCAATAAAATGCAATTGTGAGTGTTTGCTGAGAGTCACATTTCTAAAAATGTGTGCAGTGCTACTCTAATTTGGGGGTAGAACTGGAATCTATGAATGTATCTTTTATGGCTTCGTGACAGTGTTGCTGTTAAATGTGCCTTGATCTAAGGCAGCAGTGTCTGCAGAGTAGAAAGATTTTTTAAAAAAATACATGACTTGTGCGAGGGGTTGTTCACTCTCTCCCTTGTTTGCTGCAGTTTGCTGGAAAAGCACATAGCTGTCTTCCCTGCAGGTATTTCGACATTCTCTAGAACTCTTTGATTATTACAAATCATGGCTCATATTCCAGTATTAGATCACAGAACTTGGCAGTGAGAGAGTTAAGGACATTTCTTGTGGATTTCTGAATTCCTTGCAAAATGTGAGCAAAATGTGAAAACAGCTGAGCGTGAAAATGTCCATGAGAGGTTTGATGTTTGTTTCATTGCAGTAGGTTTCAATGTTTAAAAATTTGCACAATTGAAATAGAAACTCTATTTAAATCTAAGTGTTGATAGCAAGAAAATACTTTTAAGATGTTCTAAAATTATGAAGTGGAACCCGCAGTTTTGCTGCCCATGAAATTCCCAGGCAGTGCTGTCATTAAGTTCGGTGACAGGTGGGATTAGAATTACTTGACTCAACAATAGATATTTTTAATGGACTGTCAAACTTAGGAGGGACAAAGTTAGTATAATCATGCACTTTGATTCTGGCCATAAAGAGCTGTTGTTAGCTTTATGTTTTCAAATACTGACCTTTATTTGTTTTCTTTATTCTAAATAATGAGAAAGAAACCTACACAGTACAATGCATGGTTGAGAGATGGAAGTGAGCAACATTTTTTCTAGGCAAGTAAACTATTTATGGTTGTCAACAGAATTGGATATATGATTATGTTGAGAAGTTGATAAAGGAAAACAGTTGTGAGAGAATGACTGTGATTCAGTTGATTTCTGAGAACATTTTTAAATATTAATAGATATTAATAGATTCTGATCAGATGCTAATCTATAAGTGGTGTGCATTTTGGTGACTTTTGAGGTTTATAAGAAGAATCTTTGAGAGTCTGTACCTGAGTTCTGCCAGCTTGGAGCTCTGTAGTTTTTCCCACCCAGTCTTCACATTTCTCTTAAACATTCTCTATCCCATCAATATTACTTTGAGGTGACCTGTATACTCGCTTTAAACAGGCAATTAAGGATGGTATGCCATTTGTGTCTCATTTGGCAATGCTTGATGCATGATCTTTTATCTTGCTGTGAAATTAGAGAAATATTTTATAGAATAAAGCTTTCTGTGAGGTTTCCATGGTTGTCTGCATTTTCCTCTTTAATAAGGAAATTCTAAGATTCTACCTGTTTCTTACTGAATTTGGGTGCAGTGCTCTGCCTTCTGAATTTGGGTGCAGTGCTCTGCCTTCTTGGCTCACTCTGTTTGTATATAGTTTTCTTAAATTTCTGATTCCAAAGAAATGTTATGAAAATGGTAAATGGTGGTAAAATATTAAGCTGTAAGCATTAAATCCAAAATACACTGGTTGTCTAATGACTGGATAGTAATTTATAATATGCAATTTATGGAAAGCTGGTATAGCAGCAATGATTGAAGCGTTATTCCATGAAAACTTAGAAATCAGTATAGGTGGGATGACTTCTCTTCTTCTTGAGCCACAGAGGGGAAAAATAAGCATAGTGCCTTTGAATTTTAAAAACTAGGACTGACAGATTTTTATAAAGTAGTAAGACAGATTTATGACCCAGGAAATGTGATTACTGCAACTAGTTTTGTGTAAAAATTATTTTCATCTCAGTTGCCAATACTATATCTTGTGAAATTCAGCCAGAATCTTTACAACTGCTCAAAATGCCACTTGGAAAAGCCAATTTATGCATTCACTAGATGCTGTGATAATATATACTGTTCATATGTTCATATTGCAGAATCTAATGTAAAATTCATTAGGTCACTTTCAAGCTCCTTAGCCAGTAATTAATGAAGAAGTAGGAAGCAGAGTGGAATTAGTTTTAAAAAATTTGCTTTAAGGTTAGATATACAAGCAGTTGCTAATTGTACCCTGAGCAATCAGCGTGTATCCATGTAGTTATCAAAAATTTCAAACAGTATGAATATGCCTTAGAATTAGTTTTTCTCTTCGCTAACAAGCCCTTTACCCTTAGTTTTTTGATTAATGATGTTATCTGAGGAAATCGTGATTTTGTTTTCCATTTGAAAACAGGTTAACTCTGAAATTCATAATTTTGTATTATTGACAGTTGCCTTTCATCTGACACCAGTATGGCCCATACCTTTATATAAACAGAGACAATTTGAAGTGTGAAGATATTTTCATGGACATGAGACCTCCTTTGATGTGTCTTATTAGTGTTACCACAATGTCAGATGAAAATAATCTGTGTTAAGAGTGCTTTGTGTAAGTTTTGCTAATGCCTAGGATTGCTTATATATAGATAGTTTAATTAGTTATTTATCTAAAATTGACTTTATGTTAAAGTGCAAATTCAGTGGGAAGGATTTGTAGAGCTAAATAAGATAGATTCATTTTACCAGAAACTTTATTTTATGTATTTTTATCATGGCAAATCACTTTTCAAAGAATGGATTTTATAAACACATATATTGACTTTATTTATTATGAAAACATAAGCATTTTTAAAGATCCTTTGTTATGCACAAGAAGCCCTGGTGGCACAGGGGTTAAGAGCTCCCCTGCTAACCAAAAGATCGGCAATTTGAATCCACCAGCCACTCTTTGGAAACTCTATGGGGCAGTTCTGTTCTGTCCTATAGGGTCGCTATGAGTTGGAATCGACTCAACAGCAATGAGTTTGGTTTTTTTTTGTTTTTTTTGTTACGTACAATAAATCTCAGAAATCCATACTGCAGATATTACATGTCAATGACTACTGTGTTCAGCGTAGTGATGTTTAATGTAGGATCAATTATCCTAAATCTTTCTCAACTGGAGACCTGGCCCTGGACACATCATAGTATATTTAATTCTAGATTAGGCTAATGCTACTCAATATATTCTTGTACATATAAATAAAGAAGAATTAGTTATGAGGATTGATCTAGTAATATGACACTTATCCTATTGATGGACAATCTGTGTGACTTAGGAACACATAGTAAAACCCTATCATATGAATACCTGTTGCTGTCCAATCGATTCCTACTCATAATGACCCTATAGGACAAAGTAGGACTGCCCCACAGGGTTTCCAAGGAATGGTTGGTGGATTTGACCTGCTGACCTTTTGGTTAGCAGCCGAGCTCTTAACCACTGCGCCACGAGGGCACCAGCATATGAATCCATCATATGAATGCAGGGCCATTAATAAAGGGTTAATAAAATTGCAGATAATCAAGTTTTTATTTCTTCCTTATGTATGAAGTTAATATTGAGTTTTTTTTATAGTACTTATTTGAAGGTTGTTTTGACATTTATCAACTCTATGCAGTTTTCTTGAAAAATCAAGAACTGAACAATGTTTTCTTATAAGCCCATACTGCCCAAACATATGTCTGAGGTGGATATTGCCTGAAGCTCTGTTTCAGACTTTAAGACTGCAAGCTATAGGTATGTCAGTGTTCAGCTTTCCACCTAAGGGAAGCAGAAGCAATTTATACCCAAAAATCCTGTTAAGCAGTGCAATTCCTATTACATTAATGGGCTAGCATATTTCAAACTTAATGAAGGTGTATTATTTAAAACACATGGTAAGTATTCAACATGCAATCAAGTAGAGAGCTTTAGACTCGGAGGGCGGTGGGGGAACTAAACAAAAAACCACAGAGTGTTTGTTTCACAGGTTTGCGTCACGTTGTTTCCAGCCTTAACTTGAAATAATTGACGTTATCGTAGGTCAAGTCATTCACAAGTCTAGTCATGTGAAGATTTGACTGTTTTTATGTTACATCTTTTAAGGATGAAGAGAAAATAAAAGACGACCTTTAGCAAAATCAGGGACTTAAAAAAGCATGTCTCTGGCCATATGTGCTAAATGTTCTGTCCCCTCCAGTCCTCCTGATTACAGATCCCAGGATAACATTTCAACCCTTTTGTCCTCCGTCTCTGCCACATTTGAACACAGGGCAGCTACATCTCATGCAAACGATCTGCTCTTGAAGACTTCACATAATTCAAAATTCACAGCCTTCAGGATTAATCCTGGTAAAAGATGATAGGCATTTCAATTTCCCAGTTCATGTGGCCCTTGAGTAGACACAATTTATAATCACCTGCCAGCTCTGAAATTATGCTATTCTTGACTATATTTTTTTTTTTTTTACTTTTCAATTCAGTTTTTCGAATTTTGCTGCTAAAATGTGATTATAATAGTATTTCCTGTCCCACAATAAGAAATTTGCGTTATTCAAATACACATGAAATGCCATCATGCTCTGCTCCGTTTACTTTTGGTCTTCCTTCTATCAAAACTGCTCTTAGGTAAGAAGAAAGAAAAGAAGGATGATGCTGTTTATACTTCATTGCAAATGAATATACGGCATCGTGTTTTTTTTCTCAGCAAAGTTTACTTTTAAAGTTTTTGGAAGATTATTTTGTCCTCTGTCAATGAGTTTGTCAGTCAGTAGCTAAGGGACATTTGGGGGGCTTCAGAGCCTTGTGTAATCCCCCTGAATGAGATAGATCGACACAATAGCCATAACGATGGACTCCAACGTGTCAAAAATCATGAAGATGGTTCAGGATTGGGCAACATTTCCTTCTGTCATACGTAAGATCACCAGGAATCAGAGTCAACTCAATGGCAACTAACAGCATTAAAAATTAATCCCCCAAATTCTGCCATTGAAACCAAATCTGGTCAGTGGCCAAAC